GCCTAGGATCTGATTGGGGTCTATTTTGGAGAAGAAAGCTAGATTATCAATTTCATATCTTCCAAACTGTCTGTGTTTTCTGCCACTCAGCGATGGACATCTACAAAGGATATGTTGAATTCTTTCTAGTTCCTCTTCGTCCTCACATAGACGACAGTAATCCTCTCCGTTGGTGTCCCATTTCGAAGTGAGGGATCTAATCTTGCAGTGACATGTTATGATCCCCACAATGATTTTAATCTCTCTCTTATTATGTGACAATAGCGAAGAAGTTCTTTGGCGAGAGAATTCAGGCCAGACAGTTGTCGAGATTCTGCAACCAGGTTCTCTTGACCATCTGCTGCCGACTACCTCGCCGTTGATCAAGCGGATTTTGGCAATTAAATATCCAATGGGCTGTTGCACTCTTTCCGATTACCTCGCCGTAGATCAAGCCGATTTTGGCAATGGAATAGCCAATGGGCGGTTGCACAGATCTCTCAATTGGAAGGTTGGACGTCTGTGAACCCTCTCTGTTGTCATGTCGTAAAACCCAGCATTAACTATCCGTCGTGTAGAGTTAACTGTAGTTTGATCAGCTGATTTGTCTTTTGTTAGAGGTAAATGTTTGGTGCATACTTTTAGGATCTTAATTTCAATCAAAAAAAAAATACACGAGAAAATATCCATTTTACTTGAAATTTATTTTGAAGCAACATATAAAATATTCGAATCAATTTATAAATCAATACAAAATTTCAAATAAAACAATCTCCCTGCAACATTAGCTATGAAAAACACACTTTTCCATATGAAAAACAAAACTGAAAGGCAAGAGCAAAATATATAAAAGCCTTTCAAATGCAGAACTAATAAGAAAAGCAAATACGGCTAACTGTCGACACCGCCCGTAACCAAACACATGCTACAAATGTCGCCAAAGGTCATTGCTACCTAAAACAAAGCTTAAAGAAAAAAGGTGGAAAAAAACTATAGCTAGAAAAAAGAACCAAAAACAAAGGCAATGAAGGAAAACTTGTCGACAGTAGGTGACTAATATACAGTGGTGTTATATTAAAAAATTGATAACAGTAGAAAATAAAAAAAATATTAAGTTCATTTTTACATTTTTTCTAAAGAATTCTATTAAATAATATTTAATTTTTTTAATCTATAAATTATTTTTGTTTAAGTAGTTCGCCACTGTGCAATGGTGTTTTCTCCAAAGAAATAAAAACTATAGCTTCGACTAAATCCACAATTTCTTCTTTTTTGCTTCCACACAACATTTGTTTTTAGTTTTAAAATCAATGGTCGTTGCCTGGTGCCCTGGTTCTTTAAATCGAAAACTAAGATAAAAATACGAAAAGATTTAAATTCAACAAAACAAAAACAGATGGAAGTTTTAAACTCCAAAAGTGTACATCTTCTTCGGAGCAAATGGTGTTGTGTGTAGAGAGTGTAGAACTACCTGAAAATGCGTAGCTTCGTTCATTTGAAAAACGAAGCATATGCACAAACGATTGAACCGACCAACCGACATTCGTCCTTTGCGCCAGCATCATCACCAACAATAACAACAACAAAAGAAAGTCATTCATGATTTCCTTCTCAGACGACAATCAGCATCCTTGGCTACACAAAGACCATGGTGGAAAAAAGGAGGAAACAGCTGCTGCTGTTGCTTAGACATTATCCTGCATGTTGTTTTTGTATTATTTTGGATTTTGTTCTTGATTTCGATTTAAAGCAGATCCTTCTCATCAGGTTTTAGATTGTTTTCTTTAGAAATTCTGAAATTATTTTTAATGAAAATTGGGCAGCTGAAAATCATTGCTGATCTTGTCTTCCTTTGAAAAGTTTTTTTCATTTAGAAATCCAGTTTTTTTTTGCCAAACTAATTTGTTTATTATTTGTTCTGGTATGCCAACAAATTTGGCAAAGCAATAACTCGAATTTTTTTTCGTATGGACGCTGATTCCAGTAGGAACTTGCAATTAGGTAAATTTATTGGAAATTATATAAACATCGATTATTTAAAATTAGGCGGATTTATATTAATTCCTTTAATGGATAATCAAATTTCTATTAAATGTCATGTTCAATTCGGTGGGCCGGTCGGTTGGCCACCATAATGTTTTTGTAATGATATCACACAATAAAAAAAATAGTTTATGCGGATAAACGCTTTTCGATTTAGGTCTTGGAGAGAGTCATTGAATATTGATAATTGAGACTTTTGAGAGACATTTTCTTTTTTGAAAGTCCGCCTCATGGTGGAGTTTGTAAAATGTTTTGGGGTTTTTACTTCTTCGAAGAAAATGTCTCTCAAAAGTATCAATATTCAATGACTCTCTCCAAGTGCTAAATCGAAAAGGGTTTATCCGCACCTAATTAAAACCCAAAAAAATTAAACTATCTGCTTGCATTTCAGAAATTTCCAATTTTGAAGGTCTGTGGGTATATTTCTAAGTTCATTTTCATTTATTTTTTTACATTTTTTAATTTTTTTATTTTAATTTTTTATTTATTTTTTTTTTTATTTATTTATCTTTTTATTTATTTATTTTTTTTATTTATTTTTTTTATTTATTTTTTTTTTATTTATTTTTTTTTTATTTATTTATTTTTTTTTATTTATTTATTTATTTTCTTTTATTTATTTTTTTATTATTTATTTTTTTATTATTTGTTTCATTTATTACTTTATATAATTAATTTATTTTCTTCATTTTTATTTTTCTTTTTCATTTATTTTTTTCGTTTATTTACTTTTTTATTTTATTTTTTATTTTATTTTTTTCATTTATTCTTTTCATTCATTCATTTTTTTTCATTTATTTATTAATTCTTATTTCTAGCATTTATTTTTTATTATTATTATTTTCTAAAATTTTTATTATTTTCTACAATTTTTATTTTTATTATTTTCCACATTTTTTTTTTTGTATTTTCTACAAGTTTTATTTTTATTATTTGTTTAATTTGTTTTTTTTTATTTTTACATTTTTATCTTTATTTTTTTTAATTTTGTATTTTTATTATTTTTTCAAATTTTTATTGGTTATAATCTTTAAAATTTTTTATTTTTATTATTTTTTTTAAATTTTTTATTATTTTTTTTAATTTTTTATTATTTTTTTTAATTTTTTTTTTATTATTTTTTTTTTAATTTTTTATTATTATTTATTTTTAATTTTTTATTATTATTTATTTTTAATTTTTAATTTTTTAATTTTTTTTTTTTTAATTTTTTATTATTTTTTTATTATTTTTTAGTTTTTTTTAGTTTTTTTTTTATTATTTTTTATTATTTTTTAGTTTTTTTTTTAATTATTTTTTAGTTTTTTTATTATTTTTTATTTTTTTATTATTTTTTATTTTTTTATTATTTTTTATTTTTTTTTTTATTTTATATTTTTTTCATTTTTTTTTATTTTTTTATTATTTTTATTATTTTTATTTTTCTAATTTTAAAATGTTTAATTGTTTATTTTTTTATTTTTTATTATTTCTATATTTTTTATTATTATTTATATTTTATTATTATTTATATTTTATTATTATTTATATTTTATTATTTTTTATATTTTATTATTATTTATATTTTATTATTATTATTTATATTTTATTATTATTTATATTTAATTATTATTATTTATATTTTATAATTTTAGATTAAAAAAAACTACCTCCTACTGCATTTAATATACCTGGGATCGAATCTATAGAAGACACTTCAAAACTATTGAAATTACCACAACAACAATGTCCATTGAAATTACAACATTTCAGGCCTGAATGGGGGTTTTGAATAGATTTGAAATACAAACAACCGAAAAGGACCACCAAGGAAGATAGAATGTTATTTTGAAGGCACAAACATAAGGTAAATGAAAATAATTAAAATCCTATTTTTGCAAAAATACAAAGTCATACAAATAAACATAATTTGTTTTTGTTATTTTATATCAATAAATTCACATTGGAACTTCCTTCAAAGAACACACATCAATAAATACGTAACAACATCCTATATGTCGTTTAAAAATGTTCGCATTTTATTTTGGAAAGTCTACTAACCTTAATGACAATTTTGTTATAACTTTCATTTCATCGTTTCTCTTAAATCCTAAAGAAGCTCTTAATTGGAAATAGTCAACCAGAAATTTTGCATTTAACATACAAATATAGAGAAGAAATATTTGTGACTAAGACGAGGTCACAGAACAGACCTAACATTGTACTCATAAAAAACCACATTTAATAACTACTTGTTGTCCTAATAGAGCCCATGGCCATTTTATCATGAAATAATATTCACAGGAATATTCAAAAGCAAATAAACATAGTTATAAACGATAAGTATAGAATTTCTAGGAAAGAAAATGTTCGAAAAAAATTTATTGGTACTAATAACCTTAATTAGATATCCCAACTCAATAAAAAAATTTTAAAAGTGAGTGTGCTAATTCGATGTGTATAATTAAGTTTTTGTTGCCAAAAAACACAGTTGGGAAGTTCTTAATCAAAGTATGTAATTAAATTTCTGTTGTTAAAAAGAAAAAAATGCATTTATTCGTTTTAATATCTTAGGAATCATTTTGTAAATTTTTGTATAAGAGGATAATTTTGAGAGTCATAATTTTTATTCCATTTGGTCGTTTTTTCAACTTCAACATTGGATTAGAAAAATGAATGTAAAAGGGCAACACTGTAAATACATACATTATAGCAAAATGCCTAAAAATATGCAAAAAAAATTTGTTGCATATAAATTGAGTAATCCATTAAACTCTACTATTGGATATTTGTTGTGTTTATCAATAAACAGATATTTTCAAAAAGGGGATTTTTTGGAACATTTGAAAACTATGAAATAATGGACACTATAAGAAGAGTTTAGTTTGTAAAAATGCCATAGATAAATATGTAAAAAACATTTTTTTTGGAAAACTTCTTAAATCCCTTCAATTACTTTTATATTTCTTTCAAATAATTTCATGTAATGGAACAACAACAAAAATACGGTACTTACATCACGAACTTCTTTGATTTTTTGACCGCCTTTGCCGATGATGCAACCGGCCAAACTCTGATGAATGAGTAGACGAACATCGTATTCATTATCACGCTGTAAGAAATGGGAAAAATGGAAATTTTAATTAAGTATACATCGAATAAAGATTGTCAATTAAAATATATATATGGAGGTTTGTTGTCAAAAATATTTTTCTAAAAGTAATACAAGCTATAAATTATCCCATATAGAGAGGTTCGTTCTCAATTAAAAATAAATCTTAGTCCAGGTGTCAGATAAGGCTGGGTTTTTGGAAGGGCACGAAAAGTACTAAATGGGCTCCCATTAGTATTTGGCGAACCGGTTGAGCAAGAACTTTTAAATTTGAAATGATTGTCACTGATGGAGTGTTGAATAGATGTATCAAAGAGTTTTTTTTCTTTTTTGGATATTCAATCCGAAAAGTACTAAAATGTATTAAATTAGTTAAAATTTCGTAGCTTGAGAATGGATAGAGCTAAAAACTTGGAGTTTAGAATGCAAATTAAGGTTGAGTGGTAGGGTCGGTATAAGAAGGTGGTTTTAAAATCGTGTTCTCATGTATACGAAAAGTACTAAATTTGGTACACTTTTAATTAGGAGAAATGGATGGGGCTGGAAACCGGAATTTTGAAACTAACATTACCGTCGAAGTGTCGGTTTTGGGATACCTATGTGCACGAAAAATAATAAATTGTACTATATTCCGTAAAATTTTTATTTTGGATGAACCGATACAGCTGGAACACTGAAATTTGGAAATAAGATTACTAGTACATTGCAAAATTGAGGTATGTTTCTAGTTTGGAAAATGCGTACTAAATTTAGACTACGGTGAAAATTAACCTCATCGAAATATTGGTTTTAGATCACATGTTTCTTTGGTCCAAATTCGTTACAGATCATTTGGAATCGTCTCTGTGTCTGTCAGGCTGGTGCGCACGATAATCCTCAAAGGCAGTAACCGATTTCTTTCAAACTTTGCACATCGTAATATTTCTTCCAAACTTGAATCAAGTTCGAAGATGCGGAATTTCGGTCCACTCCTTCTGATACCTTCTCTACAAAATGGTCAACATTTTGATGAAAAATTTTGCACAACCTATTTATCTTAACCAAGTATAGATCTAGTCCGAAGACGGGACCCATGGGTCCACTCCTACTGGTACCTCCCCCAAAAAGGGTAAATAATGTCACTATTTTTAAATACACTATTAGGCAAATGGAATGTCCGATTTGATCCGAACTGTGCACATCTTATCATTTCTTCCAAACTTGAATCAAGTTCGAAGATGGGGAATATCGGTCCACTCCTTCTGGTACCCTCCCCACAAAATTGTGCTAAAAAGTAATTTTATAACATCATGCGAATGTACTATCCGATTTGAACCAAAGTTTGCAAAATTTGTTATCTTTACCAAGCCTAGATCAAGTCCAAAGATGGAACCCTTTGGACCACTCCTTGTGGTACGTCCCCCACAAAGGGTCAACATTTTCAACATATATGAATACAATTTCAGGCGAACGGACTATCCGATTTGAATCAAACATTGCACAACCTTTTTCCATTTATCTTTTAATGGATTGAAATTCAAGCCAACATAAAGGTTTTTCAAGTTTTGAGATTAAGAGAATTTTTTTTTTTTTTTATTTTCTTGATTAAGCGGCTCATCAGGCATATTGGGCAATGTGGCTTACAAATGTCTTTACCTGATAAGTTGTATTTATGTCGACTATTGTTGCGAAATTGCATCTACGAATTAAATTCAATTGTGTCAAGGTTCGGACATTTGGCATCACACCAGAACATTCCTTTTCAGAGCAAATTTTTCTTTTCAGACTACAATATTTTTCTTCAATGGTATGCAACTGCATATTGTGGAAACTTAGGAAGATAAGGAGGTGGCTTTGAACGCTAAGGTGCCGGACATCAACAGATGCCATGACAACCAGGGTTCAAATCCCAGCCGGGCTCAAGCTGAATTTCATTCATTCATTTAAATGTTTTATTAATTTGAGAATGTAGTATCTCTCTAGCTTTCGTTTTCATTGCAACTCCGATCATGTAGCTCATCTCGAAAGAGAAATTAATAAAAAAACATTCATTTTTTGCCAATTTATTTTTGATACGATTTTTGTGGATTTTTGTATCTAACTTTCAATTCCAATGGACCTCTGAATAATATTGTTTTCTGTTAATCAGTCATTGTTGTCATGTAGCTCTTAAAAGTCTCAACAAATTCCTCGTTCTTGAAGATTTCTCAAGGAACAAAAATTTGATAGAAACCGACATTAAATATCAAAAAAAAGTACTCATAAATATATGTCGTAAATCATAATTTAAACACTTTCAGTGTCAAAAAATTTTTTGTCGGAATAAAAATCTAAAATTTTGTATTTAAAATCATATATAAAGGCACAGAGTTTAGAAAAAAAAACAATTTTTATTTTAACACTCGGATAGTGTTGTCTGTCTTTCAGCAAAAAAAACATCAATTGTAACGGAACATAGGATAACCGAAAAATCGCAATGAAAGATATTAATTTTAAATATCGAATATATTCGACAAAAACACTGAAAGGGTTAAACAACCGAATTTAAACACTAACGAAGTTAATATCATTCAAAGGCATAGCATACTTTTAGGAGCATTGTTAATTAATTTACAATTTTCTTCTAAATTAAAAGAAGGTATAAATTTTGCTTGTCAAAAAAAAAAAAATAATAATAATGTATATTAACATAACTTACCTCTTCATAGTATTTCATCATATCCGTGATAATTGATATGGTATCATCCAATTCGGCTGATATCAAAATTGTTCTGAATTTGGAGAATCGAAAAAAAAGAAGAATAAGAAAAGAGAATTGATTATTAAAACATTACAAAAAGCTATAAAATATAAATAAAACAAATAAGGAAAACAAAAAAGGACATTTCTGTGTTTTGTTTAATGCTATCCCACACAAACATACATACAAATCAATTACATTAAGAGGTAAATATATAATTATTTTTTTGGTTTTGTAAAGGAGAGATTATTTCAAGGTCTAGCAAAAAAATAAAATGGTTTTTATTATTTAATTTGGTCAATGAAGAAAAATACAAGACAGAGAGAGATAGAGAGGGAAAGTAAGAGAAAGAAATCTGAGAAGATAGAAATGTGTATTTACAACAAAAACAAAATAAAGTTTTTTTCTTTCCGGGTTTTTTTGTTTAAATTCCAAGTGGTAACATAATAAGTATATATATATTACTATGCTATATAATAAAAAAAAGGACATTGTATTACACACAAACATTTAAACAAACATAAAAAGGGCAAGTGACCCGAAGGGGTCGTTATCATCATTAATGTTAGTTACGACAGGTTGGTTGGTCAATATCCTCTTCAAGGTAATCATCATCACCTCAAAAGTTCTGGTTAAACATACACACTCACAACCAATGTTGAGAAGTAGTATCTCATCATCAAATTAGTTGTGTTAGTGTGACATAATAGCTTATCTCTACACAAAACACACACACACACAAGCAAGGCAAAGGAAGTGGAAGTGGTGGTAATGATGGTTAAGAGATATGAATGAATGCAAGGGATGAAGGAAATAACGACATATACACTTGGTTCAATGTACGTAGTACCTCCGTATTAATTGAACTAAATATTGTCTGACCGCTCCCATAGATGTTATTACTTTGGCTAATGGTTAACCACAAAAGCAAAATACAAAGAAGGAAAGGAAATGTAAATGTAAATTCCATATGGATTTGACGAGTTAGCTTTCGACATGACAACAACTGCTTTTAAATGAGAACATATGAATTGATTAGTTAATGAGAAGACTGGGTTAAGGAATATAGAAATAATTTAAGAATATGTATATTGGTACGTTATTTAAAAAGGTTTAAATAGAACATATTAATATGGTTCGGATATGTTTCGAAAAGGAAGAAGTTCAATATTAGAATAATATACATAGGGTATTTTTTAAGGCTAAATAATTATCCCAAGCTAACATACATTTATGCTAGTTATTTAGATTGTTACTTCGAAAGGATAGATTTCGTGTCTGTCATAGATTTCGTGACGGTCTTGTGAATTAGAAACATTTCTCTATATTGAAGAGGAAGGCTTATTTTAAATTTAGCCTAAGATTTTTTTTTATCGCGATCTCGGCTTTATTACAAAATAAATGTAAAGAGACTGGCGAAATTGTTCGCTGTAAGCGTTGCGTCTTTATAAACGATATTAAATAAAGGGCAGAACTTTTCTCCTGCATTTTGTATACAGTCTTGTTATAACCGTGTCGTTATAAACGATTTCGACTGTAGACTATAAGATATAAAACTCACAAATGGGATAATAAGAATATTGAATTGAGTCGTGAGTGTACAATCTAATATTATGCTAAACCTGAAATAAATATATAAATCTTTCAGACCTAGCTTAATGGATTGTGACCATTTTTAAACGAAGCTAGTTTAAAAAAATAACGTGCTGGTTTATAAATTATTCGTAATCTTATCCTTCAAAAGTGACTCCAGTTTAAATGTCGTGTGTGTCATCAATTCCGCAGGGGATATATCGGATTAAATAGTCCAAGAGCATTTGTCAAAATATGGACTTATATCGAAAATTGTCAACAAATTTGGTTGTCATACGCCGAGAACAAGAATTGTAAAAGGAGTTTCAATACCACGAAGTATTTTAACGACGTATTTCACACCAAAAAATGCTGTAATTTACCATTGCGGATTTTTCGAAGTCGGAAACGTCATTTGTACAGAAAATATTGGATATTATGTTTTGAAATAGTCCCTAAAATAGAGATTTCGCAAATTTTTGGCATTTTGAAGGGTTATGATTTCTACCAAAGTGTTATTTAATATTCCGGGGTTTTGAAATAAAGAAATATCTTTGCAGAAATATTCGAAATTGAAATGAATGTTCTGTTTTATGCATTTTGATGGTCGTCGTCGAATTTTCCTACAGAAGTGGCTATAATTTCATATTCGGGGTTCATATGGAAAACTATATATTACCAGAAAAGTTTCGATATAGATCTATGTTTTAAAATTTTAGTCACATTTCCGTGACATATTCGGCTGTAATTTGACATTACTGGTCCTTGGAGGATTAAAAAACATATTTCCAGAGAAATGGAACTGAAAAGTACAAAAAAGTGCATTACGTCGGAACGGTTGGAAGTAGGACTCTGAACATTTGTATGCAGCTTCGTATATGTGAAATTATAAATATTATATTACATTCTTTTGGCAACCCTGTCGTGAATGTTCACTAATTTTGTGTTAGGGTCGTACCTAAATTCATCCGTATGCGTACGAATTTATTCACCTCAAATGTTAAATACATGTATTTCAATGAATGTTACCCAAATACGCATTGCGTATAAAAATATAATGTTGAAATATTTCAACATTGACAATGCGTATTTGAAATTTTTGTTTTTTTTTTAAATAGAATTCCAGTCATTGAAAAATTAGTTTTTCTATAAACGTAAACATTTTTTGATCAATTAAAAAAATGTTTTCATAAATTTTTGCCGTTTTCAATTGGCACAGGTGTAAATAGAGTCATTGCGTATTTGGGTAATACGGACTTCTTACAAACCCTATAAAGGTGAGAAGGTGAGTATTTTTGTACAGAGCGCAATCAATTAGGTACGACCCTTAAAGTATTGACAATAACGAAGGGCAAAAATGTTTTTTTTTTTTTTTTTGGAAATTCGTACCAAAATGTATAAATATATTACAATTGAACCGATAGACATAGAAATTTGAATCTTCTTATAAAGCTTTAGCTATTACAAATAGAACTATTACAAATAGTACCAAAGTGTTGATAAAAAGTTCTAGCTAAAATTGCAATGGAACCGATAGAAATATAAATATGAAAGGTGATATGTAAATTTAACAATTACAAATACCAAGCTCTGCTAAAATGGTCCTAATTATTAAATTATAATGGAAATGGTATAGATTGAAATCTGAAACATAGTATGTAGCTTAACTATTTAAAATATAATGATATGCATTAATATTTTTGAAATTAGTATCAAATATTGTACCACAGCGAATGGTAAGAAACAATTTTTGTACGCAAACAAAATAGTGTGTTGATTACGTTTTTATTAATTGAGTTCTAAAAATCATGGAAACCTTTAAATATTGTACATGGGCATTGAGCGATTGAAGTGATAGAGTTTGGAATTCGTGTATGTGGCTTCTAAAATAAAAATATAATTTTCCCAGCGCCATTATCGTCTAATAATAACACAGAAATTGACATTGTCTAATCTATATGTAAACCAGTGAGCGGAGCAGTATAGTCGGACGGGGCCGACCATACGATACCCTACACTACTACCACGTAACTATAACATATACACTGACATATTTTCCGAATATTACTAATATTCAATACAGTCATTCTAATTAATTTTCTATATTTTCTTCAACCTGGGTTGTATTGTAATGTTCGAAAAAATCCAAAAAGTTTAGTTTTCGGACCACTTCATCCCAAAATTATTATCTGATCGCCACCGAAAATTATAGGTGTTGTCCTTGGCCATAACTGGAACCTCATGGAACATTTCAAAGCGATGAGCGCTTTATTTCCGCCCTCTAGTGTGGTAATGGTTTACTAAATAATATCTGAATATGTAAGCACCTGTAAATATTTACGTGTAACTCCCACATCCGAGTACATACGACAATATAATTGGTATCAATTGGTATATTGGATATAGTATCAACTTCTCTGTTTTTTGACCTTCAGGAGTAAATATATACGCCATACAATACAATTTTTTTCATTTTTCACACAAAGGTCAGGATCCATTTGACCCTCTAAATATTGACCGATCTTTATCAAAACAGTCATGCTTATTCTTTGACCCAATCCCCTTCTCCATGTAAAAATTCGAGACGTTTGGCCAATAATTGCGGCCTCTGGAGCGACCAGAAAAACCGACAAAAAATCAGTATTTGGTCCATTTCATTCATCTCCTAAATATTAACCGATCTAAATATTAACCGATTGGGGTCTTCATTGGGAACCCGAACCCATCCTACATGCAAAATTTCGTGATGATTGGTCCATAACTGTGGCCAGTATCGTTTTTACAAATTATAATGGACAGACGGACGGACGGACACACATGTCTAGATCGACTCAGCTAGTCGAGATATGACGATCGGTATACTTAAAGGTGGGTCTAGGACCAATATTTCGCGTGGGTATAGGACCAATTTTGGGGCTGCACAAAGCTATAATACGCCCAGATCAACGCCCAGATGCATCTAAATATTTTGCATGTATGTTAGTGTTGGAAATTCGTATTAAATTGTACTAAATTGTTCTTAAAGTTACTAACAATTGATAAATATTCTGTACGGTATCACGGATAAGAGTAGGAATCCTGCTATTAACTACATACTTAATTACTACATAAATATTTTCCAGAAATGTGTTCTAAAAAGTATTAAATTTGGTACAAATATTTTTCTATGAAGAGCAATGTTTTTCGTGTAGAGCAGAAAGTACATATAGTATACTAACAAGTAAAAAATGTCAGTCGGTGTTGCCGACAGATATATAGCCTCAGCATTTGGTTTGCGAAGACCTTGGAGTTACACATCGGTTTTATTATTCGCTTTATATAAGGTATATATTTTTATCAATGAGGTTTGGGATATAATGTTGTTGAAATCGGTTATTCAATTCGCTACAAATATTATAAAATTAATTTTTAGCACAATTTTGTTTGGACATCAACACTTCTTAAAACTATGTTCGAAAGAAATGCCGACTAAGCTGACTAATTGAAGATGTAGGACCAATCATTATTCGTATATACAGTCGAATTCGGATAAGCGAACACCGGTTTATCGAAAAAAATCGATTAATTAAAACTAAAAACTTTAAACTAATATTTTGGATGAATTTAATCGAAAATCAGTATAAGAGAAAGACTTTTTAATTGCAAAAACACAAATATATATGAAACGAGCACCGTTTAAGAGAAAAATATCATTTTTGTAAGGTCGACGAAATTCATAAAAATTTGTATGTGCAACCCTAAAATTATGTTGCACATTTTTCCAACCACTTAAGCAAATGTCTGCGAAAAAAGTAAATCAATACCAATGCATGTTAATGTTTGTAACTTTGCACATATATATTTGAAGATTTAAAAGAGAAGAAAAAAATTTCGTAATTGTTTTGTTGTTGTTTTTTGTAATTAAAGAAAAGTCCTTATTTTTGATGGCGGGCATGATAACTCCCCACTGGAACATCGGAATCCGAAAATGTCAACTATGTTAGAAAGAGCACATGTTTGTCTCTCGTATGAACTAGGATTATTGACTTCGCTCTAACATTAACAAAATGGCGGATCTTTGAAAAAATATTTTTGGAAAATCGCCGTTTTTTTTCTAAAAATCAAGTTAGAAAATAAAGAAGATCTTCACCGATTGACTTTATCCTAGTTCATACGATAACTATACACTCACAGAGAAACGGGTAAAAATTTGGAATCGATTGGGTCATTAGTTTTTGAGTTATCGTGCCCGCCATTCACAAAAGAGAAAAACACGTTTAAGTTTGAGAAGCCCTTTAGCCGTCACTTGATGCTGACACAATAAATCGGCTATATCTTCAAGAGTTCTTGAGATTTTCTCTTGAAATTTTGTAGGGACATTCTTGAATTAGTGTAGATTTGAATTAAATCAAAAAAAAAATTTGACCCCGAGAATTAGGGGGGGTCCCCTTAATTGAAAATCCTGCCTAAAAGAAACAAATTTTCTGAAATTATGCGTTTTCGTTTAACCGAATTCCACTGTAGTACATATATCCATATTAAGTTATAATTTGTAGCTAAATTAAAGTTTATTTATTTTAACTATAAATTTTTTTGTGGTTTTGGAAAGAGCCGCTAACGAAGTAGCGGTCATATGCTAGTATATGGTATATGTTTTTATCAAAGAGGTTTCGGATTTAATGTTGATCAAATCGGCTATTCAATTTACTTCAAAGTTACAAGTTTATATATAATATTGACCCTTTTTGGGGGAGGTACCAGAGGAGAGGGGCAGACTGCTCCCACCTTCGGACTTTCCATTCGCTTGATATTGGATTTATAACAATTGAAAAGGTTGACCCTTTGTGGGGGAGGTACCAGAAGGAGTGGACCAATGGGTACCGTCTTCGGTCGGAAAGTGAATCTTTGTTTATAATTTGAGACTATCTTCCATAATTATACAATGGTTTAACTGTAGGGCATTTATGGCATTCGATTCAAATCCTATCAAATTAAGTTGTATACTTTCCGCTAGATGGCGATGTTCGTGTTTGAAGCGAAGACACAAAATTTGAACTAAGATGATACGATTTTAATCGAATGTTCATAAATTCCCTACTTTTTCCAGACATATTGTCTCATTGGTTGAAATATAATCCTGCTACAAATTGGTTACTGAAATACCAGACTCTCAAAACACTTTTGTGGTGTAATTTTCAAGGAATATTCAAGGCTTTAGAGCTTTTCTAAGTAACTGTAAGTTATTTATTTTAAGGTTGTTAAATGTTAGGTCTTCAGCAGTTACTGTTCCAATAATGTTTTCATATTAAACAACTAGGGCGGGTACTATTTTTGCCACACTTTTTTAATATGGGAGCAGACTTGGACTCAAGTCCTCGTGTTAAATATGGTAAATGTAAGATTCCAACATGCAGTGATAATTAGCAATGTTAGTCTACAAATAATACAAATTACAAACTAATTAACCTATTGTTGGCAAAGGCAATACTTCTTAAAGCTATACCCTGGCTTCCTTTCTTTCTTAATATAATAAAACTTAGACCTAATAAAGAAATTGGTTATTATTGTGGTGGGTTTGGTTTTATGGTTTTCAATAAAGTTATGATGAAATACTTATATTTATATAGGAAGAGAAGTTTAAAAAAAATGTAAATGTATATGTGTGTGAGTTTATATAGTAAGATCTTTACCGTTCGGGGCCTTGGGAATCGTCGACAGACACAGTGGCTTTATACTGCAACAGAGAGTTATTGGGGGTGGTTGTATATATTTTTTTATTTCATTGATTGATTGGTTGGTGTTGGTGTGTAGTTACAGACATTGGTCGGTTCGGTTGATTGGGTCGTAGAGTCAGAGAGGCACAGATTTTGAAACAGATCCACAAGAAAGACAACAGAAGGCGTTTTTTTGGTTGGTGATTGGTTGGTTTTGATGGTGGTACGCAGAGTTCAGTTCAGGTTATCAATGGCAAGTATTTTTGGATTTCGGGTAGTCGGGCATGGTCATTCATTTGTTTGTGAGCCGTGGGGACCAGTTGTGTTTGGTTTGGAGAGAGAGAGATTCGGCCGGGTCGTACATTTATTTTTTTTTTTAATTTGTTATTAATAACAAATTGGTGTTGAAGATCAATATTTAACAACAGAAAGGTTCCATCATGGTTGGTTGGTTGGTCGGTCGGTTGATTGGTTGGTGATTTGGTCGGGCCACAACAGGTACAGATACAGGCAGACAGGGACCATTTTTATTAATTTTTGTTTGTTCGATTTGGTCAATAAATTGAGATTTATTTAAGAGGCCAACGTTTTGGATTTGTTTTTGTTTTTTAATGAGAGATTTTTTTTGGGGGCGAGAAAAAGAGAAAGAGAAAAATTTATCATTTAATTAATGGTTAATTTCAAAATGGTAATAGATTTATTGATTTACTGATTCTTTTATTTTGGGGTTTTTTCTATTTTTGTTTTTTTTTTCGTTTTAATGATCTCATTTCAAAGTTGGATACTAAGATGGACTAACAACTAAAAGTTTTAACTACTCAAAATATTGAAATAATTCCAAGATACTACTACTGTACAGATATGCAATAAACAAAAATGTCAAGAAGATTCGGAGGAGTAGTAGTGGTCTTAATACAACACTCCACACCCCGCTGAAGTAAAACAGAAGAAGAAGAAATAGGAGTAGCACAGCAGCAGTAAAGGTTATAAAAAACAACAACAAAATAAGAAGTATTTGAAGTAGAACTAGATCTTAAACCAAGTTATGTGAGATGATGTAAAGGAAAAAAGGATTAGAAATTTAGAAAAAAAAAAGTTATGGAAAAGAAGTTATACAGCAGAGGCGTAGGTAGCATCAGCAGCAGTAGTGGCAAAGAAAGTTAAGGATAGCGTAACAAATAAAATCCCCTTAATTTGTATTTTTCTCTTTTTGTTAAAACCAATTAAACCACACTTAAATAAGAGAGCAAAATGGAATGACAAATGTGAGAGGGTGGGAGGGATGGAAACAAGAGACAGATAAACCACAAAGCAAATTGTGTAACGAGGAAATGTTTGTATTATTTAGAAACAAAGTACCCCCTCCTCCTTGAGTTCAGATTTATTTCATTAAATATATATGTAGTATTTGTTGTGGTTTTTGACAGATTTTTGGAAAATTTTCACAAAGATAACAATCTTGACTGGTAAAACAACAAACAAAGTATGTAAATAGTTTTAATGGTTTTTATTGAAAACTAAAAAAGGAAAACACATTTATCTAGAAATACTTATAGTATGTATTAGGAAGTGATTGCATGAGATGATAACAATACCTGTGTACGCATTTTCTGTATGTGTTGGCCACCTTTGCCTATAATAGCACCGGCAATCTGGAAAAAGAGAGAAAAATATATGAATTAATTTGATAGAAAAAACAGACCTGGAGGATACAGTGTTAAGCTCGGCCGGACCGAACTTTGGATACCCCCACCATAGGTATACTGACATATACTTGCAATGAAAATATAGGGAATATATCAAAAAGTGGACCTCCTAGACCGATAATTCTACAAACTGATTCATGTTAACCATTATGTTAACGACTAAATACAAATTGCAGCAATTGCTAATGGGATTTTTCCTAACACAACGCATGGTCATGTATAAAATCTTTAAACTACTGCAATTTAGATTGCAAAGTTCATTTCATTTATTTGATACAATGTAATATAAAAAAGCCAGCATGACCAATAACTTATATTAACTTATATAAAAAAATCCAAACAGAGAATAAACTAAATAAATTAAAAATACATAACTGTAAAAAAAACCCCTACAAAATGAAATTTAATGCAAACAACTAAAATAACAAATTCCAAAAAAAAGAACCCCAATCCACTGCACTTTACTTAACTTTCGCTAAGAAAAGTGGAGGGGAAAGGAAGCATAAGGAACCATACATAAAAATAAACTATATATCCCTCTCGAGCCCAAGATCAACACTAGCACCACAGACACTAAATTTCATATGTACCAGCGCATATGTATAAATCTATAATATAAATGCTAACGAACTTAAATAAAGATGGCTCCCCAGCCAAGAATTAAAAATAAAACGAAGTAACACTATGCAACCTGTAATCAGCGATTTCATCAAAGCCAACTTAATCAAATACGAGACAAATGCACAAACAGTTCCCTCAAAGGGCTCAAAGGGAGCTGATTGAACAATCTTACGACTCTAACTACAAATGATCTTTCACAAATTACAGACGAAAACCTCGGATACAACAAGTGTATAACACAAAAGGATACGATATTCAGCATACTTATCAAAGGATAGGCCAAGAAATTTAACAACAAATTTTGAAACATGATGACTACGACCCAAACCTTTTGAAGCCGATGAAAATGACCAGAGTTAGAGCCCGAAATTACCTCCAAACAATAGTTTACCTGAAACATCAACAACGACCTAGCCACCTTCATCCTAACGCCAAGAGGCAAATATGCTTGGACACTATAAAGCCTCCTAAGCTGGAATAGCACACGGGACAACAGAAGATCAATGTGAGTCGAAAAACTAAGTTTGGCATCAATAATTACACCCAAGCACTTCATTTCATCAACAATATTAATAGTAAAGGAACTAACGCAAATATTAGGCATAGAACCGCCATAGCAACAATTGAACAAAACAGCCTCAGTCTTATTCCAATTTATATCAAGATCATTGGAGGAGATCCACATAGGGAAAAATTGCAACGTTGTGTTAGCCAGATTTTCCAACCTGGCGAGATCAACACTCCTAAAGAAAACATGTATGTCATCCGCATACAAGAAGAGACTACAGCAGTAACAGAATCCTTGATTTCATTAATGAACATATTAAGAAGTAATAGGCCCAGCACAGAACACTGCGGGACTCCACACCGGATTAGACCAAAATCAGATTGGACACCCTTGTGCACAATTAACTGGGATCTACACTTCAGATACGATGAAATTAGTCTACAGGCCGAAACGGAAAACCCAAATTTGACTCTAAGCTTGCGAATAAGCAGCGCGTGGTCAATAGAATCAAATGCCTTAGACAAATCAGAACCAACATCAGAACCATCGCGAATAACATCAGTAAGGGATAATAAGTGCACCGTTGTACTGCAGCCACGCCGAAAACCATACTGAGAACTACTCAGGCATTTATGATCATCAAGAAACTCCAAAATAGCATCTTTAATAATATGCTCTACTATTTTTGACATGACCGGCAAAACACTTATTGGGCGCAAGTTAGACTGACTGTATGACGACCCTTTCTTCGGAACAGCCACCTTCCAAGCTTGCGGGAAGGATAACGTCATAAAAATACAATTAACAAAATGCAAAAAGTGAACAAAAAAACACTCTTAAAAAATTTAATAGGAATGCCATCAAAACCTACGAAATGAGGCTATGCCTAATATTGACTATATTCTATAGGAATTAGCGAATATTTGGGCTGAAGGGCTTCGCCTTATTAATGGCCGATATATGCCAATTTTGAACCCAATATTTTAGTTTTTTCTCAATACTTTCATTCAGGAGGTATCATTCCTAAATGCTGGCCGATATACTCATTATCGTCAGATTCGAGTTTTTTATCACGATATCTTTAAAATGCGGAATGATTATAACAGATGGCTAAATCGTCATAAAATTGCATACTTTGTAGGGTGAAAACTGACATTTTCCAGTAACAAATATCCCCCATACTATTGTAGAATACGCATATATGGAGATAACCCCAACATACGGAACAAATCAGCTAAGTATTTTAACCCATTAGTTTTAGAGCTTATATTTAATATGTAGCCAGTAGGTGTATATTCTTTGGATTTCATACGTCAAGACCTAATTATGGACGACACATTTCAAAAGAAAAGTTTAAAAAATTCAAATTTGTTGTAAAGTTATGAGCTTTTCAATATATAAAAGAGGGCAACATTTTGTACAGTACAGTACATACAGTCCAAATTATTTAAATCGCTTGGTATTCGAATTGAACGAATTCCGTCATCAGAATTGTTTATGATTCTTGTAAAAATAAATAAAGAAAATAATTTAAAGCAATTTTTTCGTTGATTTTACATTTGGTTTTCTTGATATTGGACTTTTATTTTTTGGAAAGTTTGTACTGTATCTCCCGAATGCAAGGATGTAGCGATGTCAAATTTCGTTCATATCCTATTTAGGATAGTTGCGGAGAAAAATTCGGGCCACAAAGAGTTAATAGAAAAAAATGGGGTTATATGGTAATTCCCTAAAGGGGTGAATATTAATAATTTTTTGGGGGGAGATTTTTTGCCTTATTTATAATTTTTAGTGGAGAGCTTTGCAAACCAATAAGAAATCGAAGTACTGAATTACAGCCGATTTGGTCGAAAAATACGACCAAACCCCCCAAAATATTGAAAATTGGGGAGTACTGTTATATGGGGGCTATCAGAAAAAGTTGACCTATATTTATAATGTTTAGTGGAGAAACTAATTTCAACCAATTCGGTTCAAAAACTCGCTCGGAGGAACATGCTGTGATCGGATCATTCCAAAATAATTTTTTATGGTGAAACTGGATCCGGAATATATATAAGGCGTCCACAAAACAAAAAATCTGATCCCCAAAACTATTGAAGAAAGTGAATCACATATGACGCTTTGAGCGTTTTTATCGTACTGCGAAGTTGGACCTAGAAATTTGTTTTTAGATACAATGGATGCCGCTCAATGATGTATCATATAATGGTTCATTATGCTGAATATGAAATGCATATCAAATCGATATATCAACAGGTCAATGATCCATCGCAAACCAGTCAATTAGCAAACAAAACAGTTGTTTCAGTACAGCAATATAGATATTATGGAAGGGCCCGCGCAGTTACCGAATCTAAATCTTTCACAGCGATATTGCTCTACTGGCTGAGCGACTGCGTCTGTGTGAATGTCATGTTTGATAGGCTTGCTGATCTAGAGGTTTAGGATTATATTTTTGTACCTCTCTCTCTAGATCAGAAGATCTCTCCTGATCAAAGGCTATGACAGGTGTGTTTCCGACGATAACACCCAAGCAAGTTCAGTTCCCCATCGACCGTTATCCTCTGCGGGAGCTTTTTTCAGCCGTCCATGTGGTGAACAGTGTGATTTTGTGGCGAATATTTTCATATTTCTCGGATGGAAGAAATTTACAAGATCAGCTATGTAGAAATTTAACGTCTCACAAATGTCATCAATAATGGGACTCAATGCCATGATCGTACAATCATCCACATACATTACGATCTCTATGCCGTCCGGTGGTTGAGAAACATTTCATAAAGGTAAAGGTTAAACAATTCCAGAGATATGACCACTCTCCTTGGGATCTCTCTGTTTCACTCTACGGGGTATGGACTTCATATTTCTGAATTCCACATAAGACTGACGTTCTCATATATAGTTGATTATTCAACGTTTCAAACTCGGTCGGAGATTTGTCTTCTCTATGTCCCCGAACAACTTGACATGATTGTATCATGATGTTATCGAAGGCCTTTGAAAAGAGAAGTAGCGCTTCAAGTGTATTTGCACTTTCACCCCGGCCTGTACGATTTGTCAGACTTCCGTAGCGGGACCGTCCCGCCTATTTTCAGGCTTCAGAAAATATGTGAGGTGTTAACGGCAAGTTGAGGGCTGATTTTAAATACTCAACACCAGATTTATACAGCTGATTAAGCATTATCATGTCAGGGCCCAACATTTTGAATGATTTAGCGTTTTTTATGACATCTGCAACGTCTTCCTTCGTAAATAGCGGTGGTACCTCATCGGCTCGGAGTGCCTTATGTGACGTAGTACACTCGTTCAATGAATTGTCGGTTAAAATAACACGCGCAACTCTTCGGGTCTTTCACAGTTACGTCATTAAATGTGACAGACGTCTCAGCTACCCCAGGATCTGAAGTAATTTGCAGCTCTCTGAGGCGGTGATTGGTAAACTCTGTGAAATTAGGCCAATCAGCTTTCCTTTGATTCAGGAAATTACGGCATTAGTCGAGGTTATAAAGTCGAATGGCCTGTTAACAGAGACGATGATAGGAAGTTGGACTGAGTCGAGTGAAATACGGGTTGCCAGCTTACGTCATTTATCAGACTCGGTGCCGCAATGGTGATGTCTGGCGAACTCTTCTTATCCTCGTGGGGGCATCCTCATTAACTGTGCAAAATGTTGAGCTATCAATTTGCTCGGCCAGCGCTGTACCCATCTGGTCATTACATAGAATACCACAACTCATGGTGGGCATTGAAATCCCATTGTACTAGGCGATTATTACCTTCTAAAAGCGGAATGATATCCGATAAATAATGCGGTATACAGCTATTTATCACCGGTATATAAACATTTAACAGCTCTACCTCGACAGTTCCACATTTGACTTTTACCTTAAACATTCAATGTATGGGTCACTAGAGTCTAGCTTAAGCGAGAAAGGTTTGTACTTGACAGTGTGGTGTAACAAGAACGCAAGACCCACTCCCAATATCCATAGTATGTTAAGGTCCTTAAGTGGATGTTACGTCTATTCTCTCTAAATACCTATCCACAGCCAAAAGCATGTCTGCTATATGCGTGAATATCAAGTTCACAATTGAGATGGAGAAGGTACAAATTATTAGCCCGAATTTCGCTATTAGTCGATTGGACACTGAAAGACTGAAAGTCCTCAATTCCTAAGCAGAGATTGAGTAATTCCGAAATAGTTGGTGACCAGATTTCGATCGTCTTGTAATTTATATTACACCTTCATTGGTTGAATAATGTAAATGATGTTCTTATTGAAGACTTCTCTCAAAAAATACATCTTAGTTTAGAGGGATATTGGGTGACAAAATTATTTTGACATAGGAGGGAAGGCATATTTGAAAGTTAAAGACAAATTTGAATTTAATTCGCATATGCAAGTTTCGCATCAGGGCGGAATGAATACAAGTTATCAACGTACGACATTTGTAAAGCCACATAGCCCAATATGCCTGATGAGCCGCTTAACCAACGGCGAAACGCGTCGCATAATGGTGGGTACGTAGGTTCTTCTCCTGGCTTTCCTTTTCATTGCAAAACTTAGATCATCAAGCTCGACTCGAAAGAGTATAAATAACCACTTAAAAAAAAAACATCGGGAAGGATATATCAATATTTCGTAAATACCAAATAGATTTTTCTGTTAAATATTTCCAAAACTCAATTCCCTTTACATTACAGGTTGACAGTCATTGTATAGAGGAGGGCTTGGGTGTGAGCAGCCATGACATATTCTATGTTAAACGTCCGTTTCCCCCCGATTTGAAATTTTCACTTTCTTAAACTTCAAATACTTACATTGCTGGGTATTAAAATGCGAACTTGATCATCGCCGTGTCGGCTGCGTTTCTCTGAGTGTGGGCCATCTTCGTGATTTTCACGTTTGATTTTCATGTTTTCTGCAAAAGAAGAAAAAAATACGGAAAAATAAACAAAATTAGTCATGAATTAATAAACAATTAAATTCCAAAAGAACCAAAAAAAAACATGATAAATACTTTTCATAAAAATATTTCGCTAATAAGAAGAACGCTTTCCCGCCTTTTTCTTTGTGATTCGATGCTGTTGTTGTTGTTGTTATGGTCAGTTATTGATTTGTTTATAAACAAAACAAAAACGCGAATAATTGAAAATTCAAAATTTTGTTTTGAAATGCCGAGCGCAACACAGCCAACAATAAATCTGCCAGTTGTGTGTTGAAGTGTTTAAAGACAACTAAAACTTTGGAATTTCTTTGAATTGCTGAAAAGCACAAAAAAACAACAAATCTCAAAAAATGCACATTAAATGTGAGCATTTTGTTGTTGTTGTTGCCTTCTGTTCATAATAAATGAATTTAACGAAAGAAAACAAAAACACGAAAACCTAGAAGCAAAAAAATAATAAATATGGTCGTTGGTTGTTGTCGATGTTGATTTTGAAACATTCAGGCGTCGTCGTCGCCAACCAGCCAACAATCAACAATATTGCTAGGTTGGTTGGACTGTCTGGCCACCAACCCAAACACACCGAGAGTGGCAACAATCGTTAGATTGTTAAACAGAGAAGTTACAATGTGTTTTGACTGAAATTACAAGTTGGCGAGATTAGCCTTTTGAGTGGAGGAATTTTGAGAAGCGATTTTATATTTTGTTGATCTTTTCCTACACTGTTCAGCATAACGAATGCTGATTTTTCTAATCTCCTAAACAATTAATAAACTGAGAGCTTAGAAGAAAAAATCGGAGAAAAAGTCAATCAATTTTAAAGATATTTTCTCTAAAAAAATCAGAATTCAGTTATGGATGATATCTCATTTTTTGATTTTTTCCTAAAGAAAAATATTCCTCAGAAACTTAGGTTCCTATAGAAAAAACAGTAAGGAAAGTTCGGACGGGGCCCTTCACCACTATGGGTACATGCAGCAAGACATGTTAATATCTGTAATTATCCTGCAGATATAGAAATTTCGCATACTTCAGTCGGGACCTAATTCAGTACTCTGGGCAAAATGTTGCTTCAATCGGACCAATATTGGGAGTTTGGTGCACAATTTACTTTAAATCGGACGAAACTATATATGGGAGCTATATCTGAATCTGAACCGATTTCAACAAAACTTCGCATTCATTAATCATGACCTAATTTAGTACGCTGTGCAAAATTTTGTCTCAATCGGATGAAACGGACGAAACTATATATAGCATGTTTAGATATAAATCTGAACCGATTCCAACAAAACTTCGCATTCATTAATCATGACCAAATTCAGTACTCTGTGCAAAATGTTGCTTTAGTCGGACCACTATTGGGAGTTTGGTGCACTATTTACATTAAATCGGACGAAACTATACATCAGAGCTATATTTAAATCTGAACCGATTTCAACAAACCTTGGCATATAACTAACTAGAACTAATTCAATACTCTGTGCAAAATTTTGTCTCAATCGGACCACAATTGGGAATTTGATGCATCAATAAGTTAAAATGGGACGAAAATATATATGGGAGCTATATCTAAATCTGAACCGATTTTCTCCAATAGGGTTCGTTCTTGGGCCAATTAAGTGACCTGTGCCAAATTTCATCCAAATCGGATCATAAATGCGACCTGTACTTTGTTAACAAAAATACATGTACGGACAGACGGACATGCATAAATCGACTCAGAAAGTGATTCTATGCCCATATTCACAAGAGGAACTATGGGTCTATCTCGATTATTTTTGCCAATAAGAACTTAAAGTATCAAATTTCAGCAAATTCGGTCGAAAAATGCGATCAAAACATCCAAAATACCGCAAAATTGGAGGTACCCTTATATGGGAGCTGTCCGAAAATATGGACCCATATTTATAATTTTTAGTGGAGAAAATTTTCTACCCAAATTTCAGCGACTTCAGTTAAAAACGGTCTAAAGAACCTCAAAATACCGAAAATTGGGTACCCTTATATGGAAGCTATGCCTAAACGTGGACCGATTTTCTCCAATTTCAAAAGGTTTCGTCCTTGGGCCAATTAAGTGACCTGTGCCAAATTTCATCCAGATCGGATCATAAATGCGACCTGTACTTTGTTAACAAAAATACATGGACGGGCGGACGGACAGACGAACGGACGGACGGACAGACGGACATGCATAAATCGACTCAGGAAGAGATTATATGCATATTCTCAAAAGGAACCATTATTTTAGCCTGTTACAAACATATGCACAAAGACATAATACTCTGTACCACAGTGTGGTGAAGGATATAAAAATCCTGAAGAACTTATGTCGGATTTTTCATATAGCAAAAAGGCTTAGACGCATACGGAGAAATTTTTATATAAAAAATCCTCGGAAACCGGGGTTGGTTTTCTATAATAAAAAAGCGTTCCCGACAGTCGGAGGTTTTTTTTTGTATTTTTTTAGAAAAAATGCCTTGGCAGAATCTGCCGGAAAAATCCTCAGAAACCCAAGTCGTATATTTTTAATATATACATAAAAAGGCTTTGAATCCGAAGTAGGATTTTTGAAATAAAAAATTGAGGTCTAAGATTTTTCCTGTAGTAAACACGGCACAGGAGAACACGAGGTCTCAGATTTTTTGTATAAAAAAAGCCTCAGTTTAACTTGAGGTCTGAGATTTAGTTATTGAGGAGAGTTTTTTTTATTGGAAAAAATCTCATTGATTGAGGTTTGATTTTTTTCTATAGAATAAATAGCCTCAGGTGAAACTGTGGTCTCACAGTTTTTCTATAGATAGAATTGCCTCAGGTAAACCGGAGGTCTCTGATTTTTTTCTATAGAAAAAAATGCCTTAGATGAGCACAAAGTCTTAATTTTTTTAATAGAAAAAAATGCCTTAGGCGAACCTGCTGTATCAGATTTTTTTCTAAAAATAATTCTCAGAAATTGTGGTCTGATTTTAATAGAAAAAATACACAGTCACAGATTTTTTTCTGTTTAAAATATCTCATTGGGAACTGAGGTCTCAGATTTTTTTTTTATAAAAATGTCTCGGAAGGTAATAAGGTCTCACATTTGGTTCTATAAAAAATGTCTGAGGTGAACCTGAAAGTCATAGATTTTTATCTATAGTAAATATATGACTCAGATGAACCTGAGGCCGTAGATTTATTTACTGAGGATACATTTTTTTTCTAAAGGAAACATTTTTCATTTGATGAGGTCTGATTTTATGTTTTTATTTTTATACATTTTTTTTTATTTTTATATATTTTCTTCAAAATCTGTGACTTCTGGACTCTTTTTTTTTTAAATCTATGCCTTTTTGGCTCAGATAGACGCCTTATATTGGCTCAGTATAGTCTTTTCAAAATATCAATCTGCTCTCGTATCAATCAATGAATAATACCTCAAAGTATTGTGGATAATTCAATTTGTGGTCGCCGTTGTTTTTTTTTATAATTTTTATTACTTTGCAAATATTGGCGATGTGCTGTTGTTCAAACATAACTATTAAAACAACAACAGGTGCTGACTGTTGTAGTTGTTGAGGATGATGATGATGGTAAAGAAACAAACATAGCCAACCAGCCAAAGCAAGCAAACCCAACCTCAAAGGCGGAAGATATGTAGGGTAATAGCAATGTTGATGGATGGGGGTGGTAGTGGAGACGAGGGCAGTTGTGGTGTTGAAAAAAACAGCAATAAAAGTAATAAACAAATTGAAACTATCCACCTGAATAACAATGAATGAGTATTCAAGTGGTGATTTGAGTGGTATTCTTTGGTCTGTATCTGTCAGATCAATGAATAAATGAATGAAATGGAATAATAACAAATAATAAAAAAGAAATAGATTTCAATATTCAAGCATAGATGTAAATTTTTGTTTTGTAAAACCAAAAAAAAAAAGTTTCATTTTTTCCTCATCTGGTATTTTCAATTTTAATACGATTACAAATGCCACAAAGAGCACCAACGATCTCATAACCACAACTTAACACAACCGACAACTGCAACAACAATAACTATTGACGATGATGATGATGGTTTAATACATTCAAGGTTTCAAATAACTGACACATACACACATCAATACACTCTATGCAATGACTGTATATATGGCTAATTGTTTGATATATGAGAACAAGTAATTTATAAAAAAACAATGAATATCATCAATTGCATTTGGCCATAAACAAAAGAACATAGAAATCGAACAAATATATTTGCAAAAATGTTGAAAAAAATATATTTATTTTAAAAACTCGTTATATTTAGCAAAGATTTATTTGTTATTGCAACAACAAATTATATCAACATTGAAACAAATATTATACATATTTGGAATATTCGTTTTTGTTGTTGTTGCTGAGATTTAATTGTTATTTGAACGTCAATTGCAATCGTCGCCGCCATTGTGACATTCGTCAGAAATAGTTTTGGCGTTTGAATTGGTTTTGGTTTAAAATGTAACTAATACCATAAAGGCTAGAATAAAAAAATATTTTACAGGGGGCTCCAAAATATTGTTTTTAATCGAAAAATATATTAATATATTATTTTAATTTATTGTTATTTTAATAATTTATTATATTTTTTAGAAAATTTGTATATTCTTATTTTTAGATACATTCAATGCTGGTTTAACGAATTTGGTATAAAAAAGTAACAAAATATAAAATATATAAATTATATAAAAATATATTAGAAATATATTATACAAGAAAATTATAAAAAAAATACATAAAGAATATTATAAAAAATATAAAATTATATACAATAAAAAATTATATACAATAAAAAATTATATACAATAAAAAATTATATACAATAAAAAATTATATACAATAAAAAATTATATACAATTATATACACAAAAAAATCAATAGTATTATAAAAGCTGGTTTAAACTATTCGGGATATAAGAAATGAGCCGAATTTTTGCATAGAAACTATTTAAAAA